GGAGGCTTCAGCCCCAGGGCCCGGGACGTGACCCGGCAGTCCGACATAACCCCCCAGACATACCGGTCCGTCAGTCCGGAGGACAGTCAGCACGTGGCCTGAGGGCGCAGCCTGCAGCTCTGTGGCCACACCAGTTGACACTGGGCAAGGGCAAACTCAGGCAGGTACACCTGAGCATCTGCATTTACACTGGGGACCTTGCCCGTTGAGTGTTAAACCATCTAAGGCCCTTCGATACCTGCTGTGCAGCAATCCAGTGTACTGTACCATCAATGGTGTGCTCATGGATTTGGTGGGCTTGCAAACTATTATGAGAACAAGACTACACGGAGTGAACCACACTGTTCAAAAATACTACAAAGCTTCCCAAGGACAGTATAAACTCCAAACACCAGATGCATTGAATTCCTATGCCTGTTATTTCTAACTGTTTTGTATGCAAGGTTCATACAGTACATTATGTCCCCTCACTGAGTTGCTTTTTAAAAGCCTTTTCATCCTGCCTTGATGTGTCCTGAGTTGGTTCTGAAAGGAGATAAACAGCAAGCTAGAATATGGCACAGTCTGGGAACTGTCACTTGGAAAGGAAAGAGGTCGTTTCATTAGAAATGACAGTAACAGTTGTCGTTATCACTTACTGTATGCGTCACTAACTTTATGTCTTCTTTTGGGACGAAAGCAGTTTGACGTCGAAACAACACTAATTATATCATTTTTACAAATCACATTGTGCTAGAGGCCTCCTTCCATTTTCCTTGCTAAGGTGGGTGGTTTCTGGATTGTTCGGATTTTTGCTTTCTTCAGTCGTTTAGCTTTTTTTAAAAACAAAAACTTAAATTAAACTAGACAATAATAAACTTTAAAAGGAGTGTTTACAAATGTGGTTGCAGTGAGCACCATTAAAGGCTGGGTTGCAGTTTCATAGCTGTTTGCAGCTGTAAATATTGCGACAGAAAGGGAGGCCTGTGTCTGTAATCTGATCCACTGCTCAGTTATAAGCTCTCAAGTTTCCACTCAGACTAGTGAGCTGCAATACGTCGCAAGTTTGTTGTTATGTACAGATTTCTACATGACATTTACTGGATTCTAATGAGTCAACAACCTGTACATGGGAAGGGCATCAGGTTAGGTTTTTACTAATTTAGTAATTTTAATGGTAGGTTGATGGGTTGCCTTTACAGTTGGCATGGTTAAAATTCACATGTAAAGTACTGTACAGAGTTATACACTAAATGTTCCATAGCACTTATACCAAATCACGAAACAGTTGTGTTCACAAGTTTTATGTCTCAACTTTTAAAGCAGTTTTAAAAAAGAAATTATATACTTCAGCACTAAGTACAAATAAAACAAATATCCTCAATCCACAGACTGTTTTTTCTTGAATTCACACTATTGATCTCTATCCAGTACAATTAGCTGATCACTGCTCAATCAGCTGATCACAATTCCTAGTTGAAGTAATCAGATCTGGCCTAGTTACTGTATGAGCATATGCATGAATGCACCACAATGCATGAATTTGTTATGGCTTTCCTAATGTACTGTAGCTACAGTTTAATGTGTTTTCAGTACTTACTGTAAGGAAGTAAACAAAGTAGACATAAAAACACTGAACATTTTTCCACTCTCAATATTTCTTTGTGTTAAGAAAAACAAGAATAGAATTTGACTGTGATGTAAATTTAATGTGGGCAGTATCGTATGTTGGTGCAGACTCACTGGGATCAGCTAATATGAAGTGCACACCTAACAATTCAATTTCTTAGCACTAAGCTATGGATATTGGAGCAAATGATAACTAAGAATATGAGTAGGATTCTTCTGTCTTATTTTCTGTTATTTACTGCTTGGCAGTAAGCTTTGTGGTTCCTTTTGCACTAATTGGAGCACTTACTTTCTCTTAAAATGCTTTTCTGCTTTTACAAAAATTGTGAAAAATTCAGAATTGTGCTTTAAAACAGTTGAACATTAATTGAGCAAAATTGGATATATAAAGAAACATCCATTTTCATGAACCTTTTAGTCAAAAAGAGCAGTGATTCCTAATGAATGTTGGGATTAATTCAACCTCTGTGATTGTTTTCAGCAATTGAACACTGTATGTTGGAGGCCACCTTTTAAATACTGCATTTCATAAGTAGCACAATATCCCAAACTTTAGAATTGGGAAAAAAAAACTTGCAAACTTGAAACAAGCAAGTTATTTCAATGAAAGCTTTAAATTCATTTAAGACTTCAGTAGTGCAGTGGTTCCCGAAGAACGCGGTCTCTGCTGGTTTTCATTCCACAGTGTTGCTGCAGGACAATAGCTGGAACCATACACATGAACATGTACAGTACATAGATACACTGTACAAATACACCTGCACCTAGCATATACATGCACATGCATAAACATACTGTACACAGGCACATACATATACATGCACATGAATGACTAATTTTATAGTTAATGCAGACAATTCTATGAACTTAAGATGGGCTGCCACCCTTTAAACTTTCTTAGGGCCTGTAGCTGTGATGCAAGGTGCTGTGATGTGATTATGTAGTTCAGCTGATTTGCAGTTTAATTGGGTTAACATAATAGCTTGTTAACTGACATTGTCATCCACACTGAAAACGTTGGTAATTATTGTACTTAAAAACAGACTGGGCAGTGTCTTCTAAACTGATTCTGCCCTCAGAACTACCATTATTGTATGCAGTTAAAATAATGTGTATTTTTTTAAAGAACATCACAACGCTGCCTTTATTCTCAGACAAGAAACATAAGTTGAAAACACTTCACTTTCCTTTGGTTCCAAGATATATTAATTTAGTATTTTGAGTACAGATTGTATATATTCTACTACCACATCTTCGCAGTTTGTCCTTACGTCTACAATTGTAAGATGCAAACTTGTTTTTACAAATACTTGGAAATGCTTGTTAGCGTGTCTTATAAATGATTTTCATCCTGGTTTTATTTTTCTATTTTTCATGCAATTAATTATCTCTGTTCCATCTTTGATCTCCTAAAGGTTATCAGATTTAAATCAGAATGAAAATGTTAAATGTAGTCTCTCTTGCCTTCGTTTTTCACCAAACAAGCTACCAAAAATAAAAGTTTGATATTTTTATAAACAATATGCTTTTTGTGGGTTTTTTTCTTTAATTTCAATCTTGGGGAAATGGAAAATTAAAAAAAACACTGAAATGGCAGATTTTAAGGGCAGCTCTTAGGATTTTTTTTTAATGACAAGACTCAAATTAAAAGATAAAAATCATTCCCCCTTGTATCTCAACAAACATCCTGTGTCAAAGTGTACTTTACTCTGCCATTAACCCAGGTGAGCATGCAAACACTGAAGTCTGAAAATCCCCAAAATGGGAAAGGACTGAAAAGTGGCTTCAGCACAGGCCTGGCAGAGCATCTGAGATCACTGCATACAGGGGGGGAGATCAATGGGTCAGGGACGTTATTGCCTTAAGAGAGAAGAAGCCAAATACTGATCTTTAAACTGCGAAATGTAATTAAACTGAATTTGAAATATGAATGTGTTTTAAATACTGAAATTGAATTCCCAATAATTATGGTCACCTGAGATCACTAAGTTAAACCCAAAGCAGTTTTTTTTTTCTTATGTGATCGAATGTATGCATGGAATTTTCCAAAAGTAAAATGTACGTTCATCACTTAGGTTCATCCAATGATCAGAAAAACAAATCGCTTAGCTTTGAAACAAGCATTTTGAATTTAGTGTCCCAATACCCAGCAGCCATTTCACTCTGCAACTCACAACTGGCAGCCCACTGAAGCTCGGCTGGTGTGAGTCTGGTCAGTACCTGGATGGGAGACCTCCTGGGAAGAACTAAGGTTGCTGCTGGATGAGGTGTTAGTGGGGCCATTAGGGGGTGCTCATCCTGCCGTCTGTGTGGGTCCAAAAGCCCCAGTATAGTGACGGGGACACTATACTGTAAACAGGCGCTGTCCATTGGATGAGAAGTAAAACCAAGGTCCTGACTCTCTGGGGTCATTAAAAATTCCAGGATGTTTCTCGAAAAGAGTAGGGGTGTAACCCTGACGTCCTGGCCAAATTTCCCATTGGCCCTTACCAATCATGGCCTCCTAATAATCCCCATCTATGAATGGGCTTCAGCACTCTCCTCTCCTTCCCACTGATGTGCGGTGAGCGCTCTGGCGTACTATGGCTGCTGTCGCATCATCCAGGTGGATGCTGCACATTGGTGGTGGTGGAGGGGAGTCCCCATTACCTGTAAAGCACTTTGAGAGAAGTGTCCAGAAAAGCGCTATATAAGTGTAAGCAATTATTATTAATAATACTTTTGGAGGGCATTGTATTGCTGCCCAATCCATTTAAATATAGTGGCTAAATACATCCGTTATAGCTTATGGCTCTCAAATCTTTATTACAGATTTAGTACTTACTCACTACCCTCGTTTAATCTCTTAGCAGAGATACACCAGATTTACAGGACTTTACATACGGTACTCCCTGCAGTGAACTGAAAATGGAAAAGTGTGTACAGATCACTTTAATGAGCAGAAACGTAGTTGCATGTAGCCATTGAAATAAACGTAAGTGGATTCATTCGCTATTGACATATTGTGAAATATAGTTACCCAGCGCTGACACTCAAGAATAAAAATAAACCGGCAAATGCGAGCACTGCAGTAGGCTTTGCTGAAAATACGTTATAAGGTTTCAAAGCACCTTTTTTCTGCACACGAAAACAAAAAAAAACTATCCAAATTTGGTTGTGAAAACAAAACGCAGATTTTCTTCCCCCCAAAACACCACACACACACACACCAAGTTTTCAGATCTGGGCTGTCTGGGTCTGTAAATTCCTCCTTCTCCACAGAAGAAGGCCGCTGCCCCGAGCTCTGCCTGCTGCGGCAGTAATGTAGGCCTGAGCTCTGGGGTGGAGTCGCTGAGCTCGCTTGTGACGCAGCCGCTGCCGGGCCCGCCCAGATCACTAGACGCTGCTTTGAGGATACTCGGCAGGGATCAGAAAACAAGCCTTCTCCGGCCAAGCGCTGAGGATTGTATATCGTTACTGTCATCACCGCTACAGGGGCGCAGCCAGGACACAGTTACAAAATGGGAGACTGAATACACCTGAAAGCATTTTAATGTAAGTCTCTTGCTTGGAATATTTACGCGTTATTTATTCTTGCACGAATGCTGACGGACAAGGGTTGCCGATGCGTGGTAGTTGCTTCTGTCATTTTCTGTGGTGTTACAGACAAGTGCCGTGTCAGTGGGTGGCATCGGTGTAGTGTATTTTATTTTAAGAAAATCGAAGGGCAGTGTTAAAAAAAAACATTACCCGATTTATGTAATTAAGCCGGTGAACCATTTTTTCTGACCTTCTTGTAAGGTCCTTACGTGGCATTTAACGTATTGCAAATAAATAAGAATAACTTGCTCTTCGTATTGTACGTGCTGATCGCTGTCCTAAACAATAGCCTCTCTGAAAATCAATAAAAGTCTTTATTTTTTTTCTGGCGATGCGGTAGATGCGTTTGTTTCCCAGATAGCTCTGTGGACTAAGGTCAAGCACAAAGGAGGCTCTTTCGCTCGGAAACCTCCGGGTTGCGTTGTTAATTTCTTCCATCATTTGAGGAATAATAGGAGCGCACCCTTTCCAAATTAACCAATTCAGCTTAGCTATTCGTTGTTCATATGGTGCCATGCATAAGGTCATATAGATATTCCTTAAGACATATTCATTTCTTCATATTGCGTCTTTGCGGACATCATTCCTAACGGGTCTCGCTGTTATGTTGTAACCTTGTTCCATCAATTAATGCAGTAGTCTGTATAACCAGTATGGTCGGCTCAGCGAGGAGATGATGATGGTTATAGCGAATGAAATAAAATGTTGCTGGGGAGAATTCTAGCCTGCCGCACAAGATCAGCAGCAGGCTTTGCTTTTGCAGTACAGTATTAGTATCGGTGCCAAGATAGGAAGGGTACATACGCAGTTTTATGCTCAGTATTCGGCATTTTCAGTCCCATTAACGAAGGCGATAAGCTAGTGTACAGTACCTTTGCCACTTTAAGTTAATACGTAATACGTAAACAAATAACTATGAGATTTTTGAAGGATACAACACCTCATTAATTGACATTGCGTTCTGTGAAAGAAATGAAGGAAAGAACACTTTTTTAGGCGACGAACTGTACCATACAGTATATTACAATAGCCTACGTAACGGTAATGAATAATATGACGGGCCCTGGAAACGACGTACAACGTGGTGTGGGGATCGATTCTCTGAGCAAAATACCTATCTCTTAAAAATATAAGATTAAAGTGAAGACACCTTCAGCCGTCAGCCCTTCCAAGGGGTAGTGCGTTTGTGGGTGCTGCATTTTGAGAAGAGGCAGACCAGAAATACAGTCACACATTTTACAGGAATTCGTCCGGCACACTAGTAGTTAATAGACAGCCGACGTGTGTTGTGCGTTTTGGCCTTTTGTGACTTGGTCCCTGGTGAGACCGCAGCCGCTGTGCCAGAGCCACGGGCGGGCAAGCGCCAGAGCATGATGGAGATAAAAAAAAAGTCTGTGAGAAAGCCCTTGTGTTAGTCATTCCGCCCTTATGTAACTGTTTTCCGTTCCCCATTCCATTAGGGAATTCTACAGTATATATTGTATGCTTGATATGCGCTCTTATGATACAACCCAGCCCAAACACTGTGTTCCTGGTTTGTGTGTGTTTTTTTTAACCTACAGTAACACACTCTGCACACCCAACCCTCTTTTTCAGACATGGAGTCCGTGATGTAGACATTGTACATTGAAACAGGAGCAGACTGGCTTTTACAGTCAGCCTTGCAGTAAGCACTGGGATGACTTCATCAATCATTTCGGGGCTCTTTCTGGTCACTAAGCAGATGCTGTATAATGCCCAGTAGAGCAGTATTCATGATAGATCACTGCAATTCTGACCAGTCATTGTATTTGTATAGGCATAAATACTACTTAATTTGGGCAGGTGCCTTTTAGGGTTTAGTGCAGATATAGTCTTTGAAGAAATCAGATGGAATCTTAGCAGAATTCAGACAGAGGACTGGCAGTGCATCACCATGATGCGAAGCATGAGACTTTAAAATACAAAAGCAGGTTTTGACATGCTGTCCTTTTCCAACTTGAATTCCCCACAGATAGCTCTTTTTTCGCTCTTACATTACCTCATCATTTCTGGTCTCAGAAAAGTGTTTTTCTTCTTTTATTATGAGCAATACACAGTACCTCTTTATAATAAGTGGCTGGGATGTTTCATAACCTTGACATGTGCACTGGAGGTGTAGGTTTCTTAACTGACATTATAAGACTACAAGCAGAAGTCTACCTTACAAGATTTACTGTTGATTTGAATGGAATGTAGTACTTTAGTTTCTAAGTGCTTTTAAGACATTATTTGTATTTAATAATCCTGGCAGTGTGCTGTGCCGTACAAGCTCAGATCTTTTAAATAACTTTTTGGGCTCTGTTGTTTCAAAATCAAGCTGATAAAAGTAAGCTACTAAACATATAGAAAGTGTTGTCTTACTTGCTTGTCTCTCTGCTACCCAGGCACCCCTTCTGTTCCGAGATATTGTATATCTCCTTTGCCTCTAGGCACTGCAGCATTCATTTTAGGATTTGTGATGAACAGCAATTACAGTTTTCCACTGAAATGCTTGTCATATGTCGAAGGGTGAAATATGCACTGTATAAGAGTCAAATAATGTTAAGCGCTATTTGAAGAATGGATTGTAACGCTTTTTATTTATCCATTCAAGAAGACTGGTGTTACAGGTTTGTACTACATAGTACCCTAATTTACCTTGTGTCTGCTGTATGAGTGGCGCAAAATGATTGCTCGGTTATTTGAGATAGGGTTTTATGGGTCTAGGCCAGAGTGGCACTGATTGGGGATGATTTCTTGGTCATAAGCATTACTTTAGAGTTTTGTTCATGGCTTCTCATCATATGCAAAGGTGTATTTCATTAAAACAGTTATTTGTACACACATGCTTAACTGGAGGTAATGGAGTAACCCATACATACAGTAGTTAAACCAGTTCATATACTGTGCCCAGGAAAGCATTAATGACTCTAGTAAACTAAGTCTTTTTAGTTTTGTTTTGCCTTTTGCCCAGATGTAGCCTGTTTTGAGAGTAATTTTGAAGCAGTAGTTTGACCTGTGGTGTTTTGCTAGAAGTACTGTACACTAAGTGGCATGACCACTGTAAGTAGAGTGAAAGTGTTGCTTTATACTGCTATGTGTGAGTCACTTGAGAGTGATCTTAAAAGTGAGTAAGATTACAGATTACATCTCCCAGACCCCAGACAGGCTTGTGTCTGTGAATGATATGGAAAGAAAGATAGACAAATGGAGTGTGTCAGAAACAGGCTGTGTTCCAGCCCAGTCCCAAAGAATCCCTCACAGCATCTCTCACAGATGACACTAAAGAGTTAATTGGCTGCATAGTCTCCTCTACATAATCACCATTGATTTGAATGGAATGTGCTACTTTAGTTCTCAAATGATTTTAAGACATTATTTGTTAGTTAATAGTGGGAATACTTACATTTGTTTTCAAGCTTCTTTAGTGTTAAATTTACAGTGGGCGCCCGATTTATTCGTCAAACTATAGCTCTTTTATAGAGTAGGCTAGCATTTTACATGCCCAGTCAAAAAAATAGAAGATTTTGCCATTGTCTCAATAAAGAAACTTGCTGCAAGAGGGTATATATAGATGTAAGTAAACGTGTAAAAAGTCCAAATCACTTTTGATTTATTTGCTATCATCAGTGGATATACTGTACCTGTGAGTCTGCAGTTAATTATTACTGACATTATTATTATTTACGCCTCGGCTGAATTGCTGTTAGGAAAAGTAGAAAAATTGCTCCATATAAGCGATGTGGCTGATGTGAGGCTGTGGTCATATTTGGGTGGTAACAGAATTTATTATGAAATTAGACAGAATTGTAGCTCACTGCAGCCGTTGTAGATATACTGTAGTAGGTGAAGCATTTGTATTTGGGCTCTCAATCCCCAGTACTACAGTATCTGAATCAGTACAATTCCTGGAGAGCCAATGTGGCAGATGAAAACACCTGAAAGACCTTTAATAATAATAATAATAATAATAATAATAATTGCTTACACTTATATAGCTCTTCTGGACACTCCACTCAAAGTGCTTTACAGGCAATGGGGACTCCCATCCACCACCACCACCAATGTGCAGCATCCACCTGGGTGATGCAACGGCAGCCATAGTGCGCCAGGACGCTCACCACACATCAGCTATTAGTGGGGAGGAGAGGAGAGTAATGAAGCCAATTCATAGATGGGTTTATTAGGATTGGTAAGGGCCAATTGGAAATTTGGCCAGGACGCCAGGGTTACACCCCTACTCTTTTTCAAGAGTAGACCACAGAGAGTCAGGACCTCGGTTTTACATCTCATCCGAAGGACGGCGCCTTTTTATAGTGCAGTGTCCCCATCACGATACTGGGGCTTTAGGACCCACATGGAGCGCAGGGTGAGCGCCCCCTGCTGGTCCCACTAACACCTCATCCAGCAGCAACCTTAGTTTTTCCCAGGAGGTCTCCCATCCAGGTACTGGCCAGGCTCAGACCTGCTTAGCTTCAATGGGCTGCCAGTTGTGAGTTGCAGGGTGATATGGCTGCTGGCCATATCACCACCCTCAGGGGGCGGTTCCTGAATGTTTAAGTACAATTAACACCGAAGCCCAGCAACCCTCTGGCAGTCTTATGTGAACCCATGTGCAGTCTTACACCGTTTCCTGTAGAACATGGAGTTGAGTTAATTGCACTTTTTGTGGTCAGGATGAAATACTGTAGTTTGTTCTACACTTTCAGGATAGAGCTCTCTGCCAGAAAACGCCTCCCAGATACTGTGTGGAAAACAGATGGCAATCTTCCTCCGAAAATTCCAGCATAGGAACCGAGAAGGATAATTGCTGGCCAAGTGAAGGCAGATGTCTAACATACAGCAAAGCAAAAAAAGAAGTTATCCTGTGTTTTCAAATGTTCATGAATCTTAGAATTAGAAATTTCTTTGGTACTCTTACCAAAAATTTCACTCTGCAGTCAGCTAAAAACAAT